AAAGACAGGATAAAAATGTAGGTGTTACTGCTTTTTTTGTGTGACCTTTGACCCCTGGCTCCGGCAGGTGAGCGACCGTGGCGGTGGCGTGGCGTTCCGGCGGATCGAGAACCTTTTCAGCTACATGTACTCCACCGCGCCCGCGCCGCAGATAGGAGACCACGCCCGCACGCCGCTGGTAGGTGGAGGGGCTGCGGACGCTAACCGCTAACCCCCGGACGCTAACAGCTAACAGCTAACCGCTAACCTCTCTGCCCCCCCCCCCTCCCCTTTAGGCCGGGTTCGGATACGGCCTGCCCATCTCCCGCCTCTACGCCCGATACTTCCAGGGCGACCTGCAGCTGTACTCCATGGAGGGATTCGGCACCGACGCCGTCATCTACCTGAAGGTAAAACTAACCCTAACCCTAACCCTAACCCGCCCCAGGGGGACTGACTAGGCACGTCCCGATCCGATATCTGGATCATATCGGCGAAAAAATGAGTATCAGCCGGCAAGAGAAAATGCCGATTATCAGACTCCAGATCCAGTTTTTTTAAAGTACGATCCCACATTAGCATTAGCATTAGCATCTCCTAACCAATAAGTTGTTATCAGAGTAAATCCCTGTTAAACATGAGTCTGACAACTAAGTAAGTAGATAAATAACTTTAAACTTTGATACTTACTCTGATAGGCCGGGATCGGATCGGAAGTGAAAAAAGCTGGATCAGGACATCCCTAGCTAGCTCAGCTTCTGTACACATCTGTGTTGGACAGTTCCTCATTTAGTGCAAAAAGCTGGATCGTCCCCAATACTGACTAGGCCCGTCCCGATCCGATATCTGGATCAGATCGGCCGCCCATATTTGCAAAAAACTGCGTATCGGCCGGCAGGAGAAAACACAGATCCAGACTCCGGATCCATTTTTTTTTAAGTCCGATCCCACACGGGCATTAGCATTAGCATTAGCATCTCCTAACCCACAGGTCTGTGTCCTGACCATTAAGTTGTTATCAGAGTAAATCCCTGTTCAACATGAGTCTGACAACTAAGTAAGTAGATAAATAACTTTAAACTTTAATAGATGCTCTGATAGGCCGGGATTGGGATCGGATAGGGAGTGTAAATAACTGGATCGGGACATTTCCCAGTACTGACCCTGCTCCCGTCCACAGGCGCTGTCCACGGACTCCATCGAGCGGCTGCCGGTCTACAACAAAACGGCCCTGAAGAACTACAAACTGAGCCAGGAGGCCGACGACTGGTGCGTTCCCAGTAAGGAGCCGCTGGACCTGCGCAACTACAAGGTGGTGTAGCGGGAATCCCGCTATTCCCGCTATTCCCAACGGGAATGGGGCCTCCTCCCGGGACCAGAGCAGTTTGCTTTCAGAGTTTGTCTTTTTTTTGGTTGTTTTCTGCGGCAGAACCAGCTGACGGACTGATTTTGGGTCTAAAAAAACCCAAAGAAGAGTCGGGAAACACGAGCAGGAAGCTGGAAGCTAGTTTTTTTTAGCTGGCGTTCACCCGCCTTATTTTAGCGCGCTGACCCAAAGGAGTGTTTTATTTAAATACTTGAAGTTTGAAAAGGACATTTGCACCTTGTTGAGTTTGTACTGTATTGCTGTTCTGAAGAGTCGAACAAACGCTTTGTGCATGATTATTTACGTCTCGACTGTTGTCTTAACATCAGTTTTTCAGGACCAGGCTGATCGTTTGCCCCCCCCCGTTCCCCCGTCAGTTTTCTTTGTAAAAAACACAGTTTCCAGAGAGTATTTCCAGTCTTCAGAGGCAGCCGGGCCAGTCTCTGTGGGGAAGAACCCGCCTCGGGTCCACAAGTTTGACTTTGTATTTATCTGAATCGTACAGTGTGTAAAAGATATTTTTCTAGCCCCGCCTCTTTTGTGACTGAACGTATTGTAAATACTGTAAATAAAGAGAGAACTACCACCATGCTCAGAGTCGATTTCTTTTTTTTTAAATCTCTTTTATTAAACACAAAACAGAGTTAGATTCTTAGCTCAAGATATAGATTTGAGAGTTTAAAACATTTAAAATTGCACCCCTCAGAACTACAATAAAACAATAGTGAGTCATTTATATACACATATACATCTTAGACCATAAAGAAAAGGAAAAACAAGAAGAAAAAAGTAGTTATGACAAATACAAATACAACCAAGAAGTAGTGAAACAACATTAACCACATATATGCGTATATCAGAATCAGAATCAGAATCAGAAATACTTTAATAATCCCAGAGGGAAATTATTTTTGTTACGCACTCCATAAATAAAACAACGTCAGATACATATATACATTTCTATTCATATATACATATATAAATATATATATATATACAAAATTCCACATAGAATATAGATCAATATATACATAAATAACTATATATATATATATATATATACAAATAGTATATGTACATATTTTTCTACCATGCATAACAAATGGGGACAGAATAGCCTTATTCATTTAACTTCTGTAGGTCCTGGCCAATCAGATTTGGATGGTGTACTTTTAGGGATTCTCAGGAAGTGGTTTGAGCTTTTCAAAATATTTTATTAATGGATTCTAAATACCATAAAAACGATCATTGGATCCTCTTAGTGTATATTTAATCTTTTGTGATTTTAGGTACGCTGCCGTTATTTCTGGCGTCTCCAGATTTCCCGAGGTACCTGAACGCCTCATGCCAGTTTGTTTCCTCTCTCTGGGTCCAAGCCCAGACGTGTGTTGCCCCCAGACAGAATAGCCTTATTCCTTTATCTTCTGTAGGTCCTGGCCATCAGATTTCAATGGTTTACTCTTAAGGATTCTCAGGAAGTATTTTGAGCTTTTCAAAATATTTTATTAATGGATTCCAAATACCATAAAAACGATCATTGGCTCCTCTTAGTGTATATTTAATCTTTTCTAATATTAGGTACGTTGCCGTTATTTCTGGCATTTTCTGGTTTCCCGAGGTACCTGAAGGCCTCATGCCACTCTGTTTCTTCTCTCTGGGTCCTATGTGTCCCCCCCCCCCCCCCCCCCCCCCCCCCCCCCCCCCCCCCCAGCCCCCCGCCCCACTGAGGCAGGGGTCAGGGGGGGGGGTAGTAAACAGGCCCAGCTCGGCTATGCGGGGCGTTTGAGGCCCGACCGGCCCTAAGAATACCCCGATCTGCCCCCCCCCCTCTGGGTTTAGCAGGAGGAAACAGCCGGGGGCAGATTTAGGAGATAATGCTGAAATCTGCCTCTTTTCTTTTTCCTTTTGGCTCATTTCTGCTCCGTTTGGCCACAGGATCTTTGGAGCAAAGGGCCGGTTTTTGGCTTCAGCTCCAGGGTTTTTACATCCAGCCTAAACTGGAGCAAACCTCTTTTTTTAGAGGAGTCAGCAGACTGCTCGTCTGTACTGAGAAACTCTGCTTATTCAGCTTTTCTCCAAACTTCTGATGTGTCTTTCTAAGGTTTTAAAGTGGGAAAGTGCAGATTTAATGGCTGGTTGTCACCTCTGAGGTTTCATTTTTTTGTATTCAACCTGGAAATTCAGCCAAAAAAAATCCTCAAAATTCACAACTGAGACTGAGAATCTATAAATCCTGAAATATGAACGAAAAAAAGTATTTTTTTAACAAAGTTTTTGCTCATTTTAGAAGAGATCCAAAACAGAAACCAAACTCATGACTCACTATGTTGAGCCAGGTATTCAGATTGATTTTTTCTTAAAATTTCAGGTTGAGTCACCCTCCAAATTTTCTGGAAAGAATAAGAATGGGAAATAAATAGGGAGTTTTCATGCAGAAGAACAAAATAGTTGCTTATCATTTTCTGTAAATGAGCTTCTGAGTTACAATAAGACCTTTAATTCTGAGGATCTGAACTCTTTTACCTTTGATATTCTTTATTTAATCATTATTTAATCGCTAAAATATGAAGTCAGAACTGCTTTTTACAAACTGTTAGACAGCTGTGAGTCATTTTAATGATTCATGGTGTATTTTAAACGTAGAATTTAGGGCTTGTAAACACCTGGACTCACTTCCCAGTTGTGCAACACTTCTTTATGAGCTCAGCGTAAACAAAGCTGTGCCCAAAGAAAAAGTTGTTCTGTTCCTGAAATAGCTCCGCTTTTAATCAGAGCTTATCGTTGGGAAACACGTCACATTCTCCCTCTAAATTTAACCCGAATGTAACGAGCTAGAGGGGGAAATGTGGGTTTCTGGCTCTGGATGGTAATCTGGGGCTTTTGATGACATGTTTTCCAAAGTTCACCATCTCTTACATCACAGGTTACATGACCCGGTTCAGCTCAAAGGAATTCAAAAACGCGTTTACAGTTTCATACTTTTACCCCAACTCACCTCAAACACGAGTGAAAACCCTCTAAGTCTGTTTGGCAATTAAACAAGTGGGAGGAGCTTAACGGGTTAAGCCTATAGGCTGAAAAAAAATCTGATCTATTCAACATATTCTTACTGTTGTATTTGGTTAGGAATTTTACAGTTTATCATTGTAAATTACACAATGCTTCATTGTTTTTGCATCTACAGTTTTTTGATGTCATGATTTTACAGGAATTCACTGTTAATTCTACGGATATTATTTACAGTGTAAAAAAAAAAGCTCAGGCAGTTTAATCTGATGTTTTGGCCAATTAGAGTTGATAAAAACTGATCACACACCTCAGTTCTCCCTCTGTTTCTGGAGCTAAATGATGGAAATTCTTGAAAAAAGAAAAGTTTCTGATCTCAGATTTACAAACATGAGTGTCATCTCCTGCTGAAGTTTGAATTTTAATCTTTATTCAAAGAATTATTTCTGTATTTTGGTGCTAAATGTGTGAAAACGCTGTTACACATGTACTCTGTGCACGTTGCTCTGAACGGGAGGGGAGCTGACCCCCCCCCCCCCCCCCCGTGAGGGGTACAGTAGATGTGTCTGGTGGTAAACAACCTGCCGTCACGACCTTATTTTTATCCGAAACCGAGACTGAGCTCAGCGGACATCTGCTGCCAAAACAGAAAACAGAAAACAGAAAACAGAGTGGAGCCGAGCGTAAAAACCAAACACAAACCAGACACACACCGCCGTAATGAGCCCAGTTCAGGGGATACGGAACATTTATGGGCCAAAAAACGATGATTAATCCATATTTTAAGAAACAATTCCATCTTTCTCTCTTCAATAGGTCAGAAAACAGAGAAAAACCCCACTCATCTTTAGTTAAGGCACAAAACAAATGCTGCTAGTGGAGTAAACCATTCCTTTATTTTGACCTTTTCCTATTCATACAGCAGCTGTTTTCAAAGAATAAACCAGATAGAAAGTTTGGACTAGAACTGAATCACTGCATTTTTTTGCCTCTTTTTGCGGAATTCCTGGTGCCTGTTTGATTCAATCCTGTGTATGATTAGGAAGAATTCATTTCTGACAGTAAAACCTCCATTAATGTATATTCCTTGTGTCTTTATAAGCATTTCTTGTTGAAAAACACACAAAAAAAGCAGTAACACCGACATTTTTATTCTGTTATTGAGATTTAATGCATGACTTCCTCCTAAAAGTGTTTAAAAACCCTCTATTTTAACAGAACAGACCTATCTGACAGTAAAACCCTCATAAATGTTCAGTTCTCGTGTTTTTATCAGCATCTCTAAGAAAAACACACAAAAAAAGCTGTAACACCTATATTTTTGTTCGGTTTTTTATATTTAAAGCATGATTTCCTCCTGAGGGGGTTTAAAAACCCTCTATTTTAACAGAACAGACATTTCCGACATTTCTCTTTAAGAAAAACACACAAAAAAAGAGCTTTGAAACCCAGACTTCTGTTCCGTGTCTTAATTTAATGCCTGATTTCTTCCTGATGGGGTTTAAAAACCTCCCACCTAACGGGAGACATTCCTGAATATCTGAGCTACGGTTGGGGGCCGATGTCAGGTGGGTTTTTTTTACGGCCCTCTGGGGTTAGAGGAGCAGGTCGGGCAGTGGAAAGAATCCTCGTTACGCAAACAAAAGGCCTGATAAACTCTCCTTAGCAACGGCCGCCAAAGTACAGCCGCCCGTGTGCATGTCGAGGAGTGTGGGAATCCGGAGCCTCGTCTCTTTTCTCTCAGGTGACTTTCGGACGTGAATCCAGACATGAGGATAATGAATGACTGAATGAATGAATGAATGAATGAATGAATGAATGAATGAATGAATCTTTATTGTCATTGTCACAAGAAACAACAAAATGTAAAAAAAGTGCCATCAATCAGTGCTTATGCCCACAATTTACACACAATATAAGAAATAAATAACAAATAACTGATAATAAAA